CTTCGTGACTGGTAGACTCTTGTTACCAGTCAACTCGGAAGTTGTTAAACTTCCGATTCCCTAAATCAGAATGATCGACTTTGTGACATTGGTTTGGACGCGCGATGATGCAACGGTATGCGAACTACTGAAGTGATGCTGGCCTTGAAGAAAGCGAGGAAATTCGCCTACAATTGTGGATCGCTTCATTTTAGCGTCGAATTGCTGCATATGTGGTTTGAATCACTGAATATGAGTGTCCCGATCACATATCGTCAAATGTCATTCAAGTCATAGAAGCCATCTCGGCTTTTCATGATCCCACGTCTTATCACCAGTCCAACATCAGCTGTGGACTGTCAGACCACAGACCCAAGCAATATATTCGTAGCGAACTAGCAATGGGCCTAAGAGAAGTGGAGGCGTGGAGAAAACTCTTCCCAAAACATCGGGGTGGTCTCTCATCACTATTATTGGTCTAACTGGTTCGCTCCCTGGATCTAGATTGATTTGGGACCTGCGACTAAATGACTAGCCGCGAACAGGTCTTAACAACTGAACGGTGTTATGTGTTCATCAGGGACACGAGATGGTGAAACACACCAGACTGTTGCGCCTGAGGTTAAGGCTGAGTTTGACAGTTTCCTCCAAATGCTCAGGAACGATGACCTCATTCGCGGGTTTTCAATCGGCCTGAGAGAAACTTTTTCGCATGTCTAAGACCCTAGGCCAGGCACCTTGCTTTCTGCAGCAGCAGATGCAACCAATTAAGCAATTGAGTGACGATTGCAATTGTTTTCTAGATTCGCGTCCTCAACCCAATATCGCTCAAAACCCTTAATGCTCGACGGTACACTACCGATGCAATGATCTCGGGGTCGTCGTTGATTCGCTTTATTTGGTGATATCCCGGCAGGGGGAGTTCATGGACCACGGGCCGGAGAAAGCCAAACAGATTCAACAGCTAGACAATCGCATTATTGATGGGCGTGGCTATTGATCCTTCATTTATAGGACTTGTGAACGCCATACTTCTAGGACAAGACGAGTTTGTAAATGACGAGGGAAAATTGCTTTCCTTGCTTACCTGCTTTCCAAGCTTGTAGATAAGTAGGAGGCATCGAACTTAGGCTAGATAGCCAGTAAGGATGGTGTAGTTAGTCATTTAGTTAATAAGCATATTGAATTGGAAAGAATCCAGTCAATGTCTGCGCCGTTGGTTATCTATTATTCCTTGATGGAGCTTAGATGGCTGGAGATATTTGGTAGCGGTAAGTGTACGGAGTACTGATGGTTAAATCGAGATTTGGATTGCTCCTGTTTGCGTTGGCATGAAACACTTCATCATCTGCAACGTCTTTTTGACAACTCCATCTTGATGCTGTGGTTGGAAATTGTGATTGAGTTCTTATCCATCACAATGGTACAGGGAAGCGGCCAGGAGTGGCTTGTTTGCGACATCAGCAAACTGCTGTAGTAGCTGATTGCTACCTCGTTAGGTGGCTATCTATCGGATGATACTGTGGACACTACGTACCTTACTCCATACGTTGTTACAGACACGGCCAGTCCACTTAATACCACGCTCATCCCTCCAAATGACCCAGATTTGACCTAATCAACCCCTTTTGAAAAACAGAAGTTGTTATTGTTATTGTTTATTACCGATATTTATTGTTATTATAGTTGGGTTCATATTAATATCGCCTAGTAATGTTATGATGATCCATTATTGAATTCATGGCCCATTTGCTACTTAGGTAGACACCTCCATCCACAATCACCAATCATCCAATCCTCTCCCTAGTCTCACTCACACCTCTCCAGGATCGGGAACTCAAAAAAAGGTACTACAGAGTTACACTTGCAGACTGCTTTATTTCTTGCTTTTTCCAATTTTTTAATGCCCTTTCCTTCACATCCTTTCTAATTCTTACAATTGACTAGGGGGAAAATCTGACAAGACAGTCCAAGGAAAGAATTTTGCCTTCCACCACAAATTCTGGATTCCTTCTTTTCTGGGACTCCCTCCCCTATCTTATCCCCACATCTTCCTGCTCATCTTGACTCCCCTTAAACCACACTCTCCAAATCTCCACCCGTCTTCCTTCTAAGCCCACACGGAACACTTTTTCTTGCAAGAAAGTTATCATCATCATCTCGACTCTGTTGAGTACGGAGTAGAGAGAAACTTTGCCTAGATACTCTAGTAGGTAGCACCACCGTTCGGAAAGCCGGCGCGCAAGCTGGTTCGCCATCTCCAATTCCCTCCCGATTCTGTGCTGCAGAGTGCAGACTGCACAAACCCCTAATCCTCCTAAATCATCCTCTTTCCCAACCCCAGTTGGCGTCTTTAAGCTTGGCTTAGTCGCTACTAGAGTACTGGACCCGCCATTGCTGTGGACTGTTCTCCAGCGTCTTCGCTCTGTGCGGAACTCCCGACAAGCTGGGTCCCGACTGTTGACCCTTTTTGCAAAAGAAACTTGTGCTGCTACTTTTTCGACCCGCTGACACTGCTGCTGTTGGGATAGCTTCGATCGTTGCTCTCTTTTTCCCCTTCCATCCTTCCAGGTAACTTCAACCTAAACTTCGCCGTGATGGCTTCAAAGGTACGCCGATCATTCGAAAATCCTGTTCCCTTGTGTCGCTCGCCGCCCCTTTTCCCTCTCAACATCACCGCAGCGCCTCCATCCCTGCGTATCACGCCTTCGATTGCCACAGGTTCCCAAGAGTTGAGATGTGTCACAAATGACTGACAGCTTTCCAATTGCAGTTCCTTAGAGAGTACAAGCTAGTTGTTGTCGGCGGTGGTGGTGTCGGAAAGTCATGCTTAACAATCCAACTGATTCAGAGTCACTTCGTCGACGAATACGACCCAACAATTGAAGGTAGGTGGCTCCTTTGGCGCAGTCATTGACGACTTGAGTGCTTACCATTTCTTTTCCTATTGTATAGACTCGTACCGCAAGCAGTGTGTCATCGACGATGAGGTCGCTTTGTTGGATGTCTTGGATACTGCCGGACAGGAGGAGTACTCGGCGATGCGTGAACAATACATGCGAACTGGCGAAGGCTTCCTCCTGGTCTACTCGATTACGTCTCGGCAGTCCTTCGAAGAGATTATGACTTTCCAACAACAAATCCTTCGTGTGAAAGACAAGGATTACTTCCCTATTATCGTGGTCGGTAACAAGTGTGATTTGGAGAAGGAACGAGCCGTCTCTCAACAAGGTAGGCGATCCTCCGGAGTTTCTTCTCACTCGAACTTGGCAATATACTGATTTAGGCCACCTGCTATTCAGAGGGCGAGGCTCTGGCCAGGCAGTTCGGTTGCAAGTTCATCGAAACGTCGGCAAAATCCCGCATCAACGTCGAGAACGCTTTCTACGACCTCGTGCGCGAAATTCGTCGTTACAACAAGGAGATGTCGTCATATCCGTCCGGTTCTGGTGCGGCAGGCACTCGTGCCCCTGAAGGCAAGATGGATGTGAGCGAGCCCGGCGACAACGCTGGCTGCTGTGGAAAATGCATCATTATGTAATTGGGTCGACGTTGCTTTACATGGTTACCAGGCGCGCAGGTCAATATGAAGGAAGGAAGTCGCCAAATCCGACTTTGAATGAAGGATAAGAAAGAAAGAGAGAGAGAGAGAGCTATGCTTGGCTTAGGAGATGAAAGCCGAGACTGCGGTGTGGCCATACACCTGCATCTGTGACTTTTCGCACTGTACAAGGCTCGCTATCAGGTGATGTCTGCTCTCAGCATGAGGTTGTCATCGTCTCCATGACCGTTCGATTCCCCCTTTGTTTCTCTGTTTAGTCTTTTTTTTTTTTTTTTTTTTGGAAAGATTGTTCTCTTGATGAATACCCGTTCCCTTGGCACAATGAGGGATGAGCCTGTCAATAGATTGTGCATTTATATAGGTACATGCTATTGTCATGGTTCACATCTTGGTTCTCACTCGCGCAGCATCACCTTCTCTTTCGTTCTTGTTTCTTATGTGACCATCAGGACGTCGCTGTCTCTTCCGTGTCCATTCCTTTCCCATCGGGTCCGTCCTCAATTTCCCCCGGCGTCCCCTGGCGCCCAAGTCCATTCTAATATTTCAACCATAGGCAGCGAACATGGCCCTTTCCCAAACGCTTCTTCAGGAGGACTACGCCTTTCACCTTTCCTTTTTGCTTTTCAGCCTCTGCGATTCTACATGGATGCTCCTCTCTCTTATTTCCCCTTGACGGCGTGTTTTCTATCCATATTTCCTGCATATATCCTTGTCACTACTTTCCTTTTCTCGCTTTAGAAAAATCGATGGGACTTTTAGAAGAGAATTTGGTTCATCGGAAAGACAAGGTCAGATCCAGGTATGGATTCTTGAGGAGTTCTCCTTTTAAATGCCATAGAACATCAATGTAGGATCGACATTGTGCCTAGAGCGGAATTGTAAAGTGAGGAACGGTGATTTTCCGTTTTTGGTTAGATTTACCGTTCTCCAAGAGTGTGGTCATCTGATATGACGTCTTGTATACCCGTCTCCGCCCTCACTTTAACCTCCAGCTTATTCAGTCATAGCCTCTCCGTAGCATTCAGCTCGTGCTCCTGCAGGGCAGTGCAGAAATCGACAAACTCCCCATCTAGGCGTTTATATTAATATTAATCGCATTCCCTTCATTCAAATTATTATATTTAAGTTAACTGCGCAATACTATATGTACATGTCCATACATTGCGCCACAGAAGCCCGTCAGCCATGCGCTCGAAGACAGAGCAGATCACAATTTGAATCTAATAACAGCCAAGAGATTCTTTACTGCGCATAGCATATCGGCATCATACAACCATGTTATGGCAATGGCTGTCGTCCTTAGAGAAAAATATGGGGTCCTCAGATTTATTGCTTAATACTGGTCAAAGTGGGAAAAGCTGACAGAGAACCAGCCATGATTATAAACGAGAACCAGCCATGATTATAAACACGTTACTGATGTGAAAAACTGGCATCCATTTGCTTCAGTCAGGGTGACCTACTTTCCAGTCGCCTCCTCGATTTGCCGGCCATTAAGGGGAGAGGAGATAGGGTGACTGACCTTGTTTCTTTCCTCGATGTTGCGGGCACTGAGGCCGCTATTCTTTTGGCCGGGACTGGCGACGAACTCGGGGTTGACATCGCGGATTTGAGTCATCACTTCCTGGAGGTTGTCAGTCGACGAGTATGGCTGTGAAGCTACCTGGAGGGCCCCCTTGAAGGTGACCTCTGGCTTGTCCGGATGAGGCTTCCCTGTCCATTCCATCGGGACGATGGCGTATCCTTCGATTGGAGAATCGCGGACCATAAGAGCGCCTGCGCAGCAATGTCAGCAGCCTTGGACGTCTTTTGTATGCCTTGACTCTCATACCTGGGACAGAGAGACCATTGAAGCCGCGTCAATAAGAAGGCTTGAGCACTTCATCTTGTGATTGCGAATGTTTTGAAGGGGAAAGCTGTTGGATGAGTGCAGGACAGGGGCATTCGGGTTGGACATGTCGTCCCAATTTATAGGTTTTGCAAGACCGTCAGAGGCAGAGAACTGGCTTCGCTTTTTCTAATGTCCTGGAGCATTGGGTCAAAGGAGCGACCTGGTCCTCAGAGATGGGATTTCCTGCGCTTTCATGATTGCGCTTTGAGCATCATGCAGGGGTGTATTTGGAGTGAATCGTGGAGCAGCGACCAGAGCTCTATGCAACGTAAGACATGGGTCAGTTGGATCTGCATTGAAAATCGAGGTAAAGGCGGAAGCGAAAAAGAATTCAGATTTTGAGTGCTGTGGAGCTGATTGGCTAGCCATAGAAAAGCACCTCGTGCAGGTCTCTCTACTGCCTCAAAGAGCTGGAGGCTCTCGCAATGTCCTAAACGGTTCATGACTGACAGTGACACCTGCGATTAGTTACCATCATACAAATCTGCGGCTGGCTAGGTCCTGGTCAACTTCTCCCCTAGATCGACCAGTCACTACTGCAGTGATCTTGACCGAGGAGCCAAGCTCCATTGAGCTAAGCAATGTTGGCTTGACTTTGGTTGACCAACGAAACAAGCATCATTGACTGGACAATGCTTTTCTGCACACCTACTCTCAGAGGCTGCCATATCCGTACTTCCTTCTCCTAATATGCGTCCCTTGACCAGCTAGAATTGGTTGCATATTGCTCCGGTGGGATGAAGTTGCTTGCGGCTCGAGCAGATGCATGGTCCATGATTGAGACCAGATACTATAGATGGAAGTTCAGGCTTCCAGCAGGCATGCACTAATGGTACAAGCATGACTCTGAGATTACATGGAGCGATTTCCGCGACCTTTCAAGGCTTGGGTCATCTACTATTTTGACAAGGCGTACAAGCCCAAGATTGGCTACAGTTCATTCCCCAGACACGCGGGACGGATGCTGCCTGCTACTATTTACCCACAAATGGTTCATCGGCAAATTTTCAACATGTGTCAGGTTTCTCTGCTCGTTTGGCTCCTCGAGTATGCCCAAATGCGCTTATTTTCTTGTCATCTATAGGTCCTGCCTAAGACCTCCAGTAGACTATCAAGGGCCTGAACGAAGAGGCGCAGTACACGTAGCCATTAGACAAAGAACCCCAGGCTGCAACATATGCAAAGCTTGATATCTATTTTATTTTGCCTGGACGCCTAACATCCAAGACAATCATCACTCCGAGAATATATGAGTCAACTCTACTATCTGGGACACCATCATGTCTACTACACATAGCTTCGACACGTGCAACGACAAACGCGACACTGACACTCAATCGTACAATCTCAGGCGAGACTCTACACGAGTGAGCATTCAACGACAGTCCCGCTTGCTACTAACACATCCACAACCCTGCCAAACCAAGCCGAGTCTATCCTCAAAGAGCAAAGACGCCCAAGCGACATCAACAACCCCAAGCAGCTCAAAATATTTGGCGAAGAACCCGGAGTGGATTGACTGTCCCTTCTGCCATGAGCGCGCTTTGTCCAGGGTCGAGACGAAGAATAACGTGGGCGCTGCGTATGTCGTGTCAATCTTTTTCTCATTTTCGACCCTATCTATCTGAACTGAACTAATCGACAAGCAGAGTTGCGTCCACGGCAATGAGTGCCGTCTCCGTACTAGTTGGTGCTGGACCTCAGTGGGGTGGCGTGCGTAATTTTACGCATTGTTGCTCGAGGTGTGATCGCAAAGTGGCTGTCAAGTACCATACCAAGGGCAATGCAGATGTTTTTAGTCCGGAATGTTGAGAGTTAGATGTTGATTGAATGTCCATTCATCCGAACTGCTGCAATTGCACTAGGTGACGGTATGATATTCCGCTAATATAGAAGCAATTGCTATGCCTACAAGTCATTGGGCCAATGTCTGGAGATATTTTTCGCGGACGTATAGGCTTAGGTGACTTTAGCAAAGTGAGACGGATCTATGGTTTGACATCTATTCATTATACTGTTACCACCAAGGTAAATCACTTTTCTCCTTTCTAGGAACCAGTCCAATGTTATTTGCTACATATGCAGAATTTATCTATCAGCCGAAGATTGTACATGCAAATATCATCCTATGAACGTAGCCTGTAGTGCCTCTACTCCGACTCAGACGGAGGGTCCAGCTCATCCTCCCGAGACACCTTCTTGCCCTGGACGTTCTCCTCGACCTCCGCAATCACCGAGTCCATGAAAGCCTTGTCGGTTCCGACTAGAGTGACGGTGTTGCGCTTGTTGCCCCAACGAGGGTAGCTGCCGACTTTGACGCCGTGCACGCTGGCCCGTGCCGCAAGGTCCGTCAGGTACGGTGCGACGGCACTCTCCGGGAGCGGGGTGCTGAAGAGGTAGCGGTAGATACCTTTGCCCTCCGGGTTGGCTAACCGTGGGAGCAGAATGGGCTTGAGGTGCTCAAGGAGGCGCTCGAACAAACGAGGCACGCCGGGGAGGATATGCACGTTACCGTTGACGACGGCGATGGGCACCCACATGTCGTCTGCAACGAAGAGGGCTTGTGATTCTGCGGGGAGCTTCTCGTCGTGCGGGAGGTAGACCATCCGGAGCTTTGCTGTGAGGGCGGGCGACGGGGTGTCCCAGTCGAAGCGAGGCTGCATGGGGTGAGGTTTGGAGAGTTTCTTCATGCGCTCGAAGGCAAGTGTGTGAAGTTTGAGTGGCAGGTTGAAGGCCTTGGCTATCGATTCGTAGGTGATGTCATCGTGGCTTTTGAGGGACACGCGGTGAAGAGTTAGCTTTAAATACTTGCAATACAATATGAGGGAGATGTTAGGGACGTGGAGGTGAGAGTGTGTACGGACGTTGGCCCAATGCCTCCACTGGTCACAACAAAGTCGTAGTTGTTGCTCATCCTTCTCACAGCTTCAATGATCTCGCTCTCATCATCGGCAATGACTTCCACCCGCTTGAGTTGGATACCAAGAGAGAAGCAATATTTAGCGAAAAAGGCCGAATTGGTGTCGATGGTCTGGATTTGTTGACATCAGAAAGCTGTTAGCTATTTCCATGACTCCGACCCATGGGACTTCTTTGCAGAATTGTCTGCTGATTCTGTGCTCCGACCTCCGCAGAACAGAAAGATATGAGGAGGTCTCACCTTTCCACCAAGGACTTCATCACCAATGATCAGACATGCCGCCGTGTGGATGGTCTTAGATGGATTGGGCACCACGGATGATGTCATGATGGAAGACGGACTGCTGGATAAGGGGGAGAATGAGGCTCGCGAGGCGATCGGAGAGATAGAGCTGGTACTAAGCAATGGCCGGGAGATATGGCGTGAAAGCTGATTGAGACGGTTTAACATAGAGAAGGAGAGAAAACGCGGGGGAGTTTGCGGGTTGAGGAGAGTCCAGGCTGCGGGACATTGAAGACGACTTTATGAAGGCTCAGAGGGAGCGGGGTGGGGAATCTCCGATCATCGCGCTCCCGCACTGTTTCATTATCGCGTGCAAACCGGGAGTATCTTTCTTTCAGTCATCAGTTTTTCAGCCTTATATAGTCTCTCCGCCTCCTGTGCAGACTTATCAAGAAGGCGCTTGCACATTTTCCCCCGCTTTATTTGTATCGTTTGACTGTCTTACGTTCCATTCTCCCAGTGACATGGTGAGTCTCCGTCTGCCCCGCATCCTAACCTTTCTGCAAGGAATGCTCTGCTGATGATGGTATGCCTCTCTTAGTCTGAATCACGATTATATTCTTTCTCTCCAGAGACAAAAGAGAAGCTGCGCAAGTTCCGCTTGGGAACCTCCAGAGCGAAAGATCCGCAGGCGGTCATCTGTAGGACACCCATTTCCTGGCCCTAGACGACAAGCCATGCGCTACTTGCGACGCAAGGCACACAAGACCCCATTCTTGAGATGCGAACTTTCACAAAAGGCAAAAATTGACGATCGATCTGGCAGACATCATCGATTCCAAGACACAGGAGATCCGAGCCGAAGATGGCGAAGTCTACACGAAAATGGAGGATCTGGCCGACGAGCTCCCTGAATCTTCCCCACGCTTCATTCTTCTGAGTTATCCCCTGACCCTGGTAGGTGGCATCCATGGTGGAGGCTCCAAGGCACCCCCCCTCACGTTTGTTCAAGGAATGTTCGTGTGCTCAAACTAACTTTTGCTCGTCTCACCAGGGTTCCGGTCGCCTGACGGTCCCTTACGTCCTTCTCTACTACCTTCCCGAAAATTGCAACCCATCCATGCGAATGACATATGCCGGCGCTGTGGAGTTTATGCGCAATACAGCAGAAGTCAATCGCGTGATTGAAGTTCAGGATGAGGACGATATACTTTCCATCGAATCGAAGCTTCAGGGTTCGGACTAATCGAGCTGTAGAACGGCTCGTATGGCAAGATACTATAGTCTCTGTGATATTCGACTGCGTCCTGGGAAGACGGATGCGACGTAATGATCGTACCGGGACTGCTCCTTTCCCTATACGTGTTAGTATTGCATTCTAGGATGGCCGATTGAGTTGGATTTCTGCGGAGGGATTATCCCTGTCGACCAGGATCCTGCAAATCTGCGAGGCTGGACCGAGATACCGGCGATACACCCTTACCCACGCAGCGGCTACATATATCCTTTCTCCAGATACCGTCGAATCAACGACTTCCATTGTATTGCTTACAATTGTTATTGTGCAGCTCATTTAACTCATATTGCATGTGTTTCCAGTTCTTTTACGGCGACTGTGGGTAGAAGCATGTGACATGGATACTATACCTTATTGTCACGGAGCAACTCACAGAAGTCATTAGAGACGTGCCAAGAGCACTGGAATCTATCATCAGTCCCGTAGGATCGCAGATCGCGCCCATCAATAACAAAGCATCTGTATAGATGCTTCATCGATCGTGGTTATAATCGAAACAACCGGTAAAACCTTGATACAGACAGATCCTGTCTTACTGCGCAATTACGGTAAATTCCGCACTGGAGAATTCTCGGCCAGATAAATCGGAGTAAACCGACAGGGGAGATAAGGTTTATTACCGTATTATTGGATGATTTGGATTTGTTGTGCACTTAGGGTGCTGTGCCACTGCATTACTGCTGGGCCTGCTGGTACTGGCAGCCACCGCGGCCTTTTTGGCAATCGTTTCAATTATTTGGCTGGAATCAATTATCGCTGTCTAGTTAAGCAGAGTCAAGGGAGTGTGATTGGGTCCACGTCCCCGATCCCAGTGACCCGGTTGTTTGAGCAGTTATTTAGTGTTATTAGTGGTGGCTGGCGGCTAGTGCTCTGTAGTGACACTGGCATCTCCGTGTATAGTGGTTGCAGCTCTAAAGGCACCAAGTGGGTGGGTCGGTGGGTTTCAGAGGCACTGACCACCGTGTCTTACTCTGGTAAGTCCAGTACTCCACCATTTTAATTAGTGATATTGGGTGGTATATGGTACATATAATTACCGGTACGTTGGTATGGCATAAAGATGGGAATTGAAGTAACTTATCTAGGTATACTACCTCTGCAAGTCACATGTTGGACAGAAGTGGTCGAAATAGCAACTGATCCACTATAGATCAGGCCGTAGCAATGTTCATTAGTGAGGACACATCATCATCACGATCATCCAGAATCATGCAAACAAGCCGAGCAGAACGAACAACGTCACTTCCCACCCCATAGGTAGAAATCACCCTGAGTCAATCCACCAATCTGCAGATTGACAATCGCGCCACCCCTGCCATGAGGAGCATTAGGAGCATCCAAAACACCCCCCATGTGGTCTAGGGGCCACCACCAGGATTCCTAAAGCGTGAATCTGCAGCCCGGCGCATGTTGGAAGCCGTTGGAGATTTCATGCATGTCCATTTATCATCTCAGTCATTGCATCAATTGGCGGTCCATAACCAGCTGGTCGCGTTTCTGGCGCTCCCTCGGACTATTGCGTCGCCAATTACAGCAGCTTGCGTTTGAGGGGTTAGTGCAGCCCATATGAGATTGCTGCAGTAGAGTCTAGGCAGTGCTGCTGGCATATACGCGATGGCTCTATGCTGGTCTTTACCAAACATGTGCCTTTGTTCGTACTAGGTAAATGTATGACATCAATGATATATGCAGAATTATACAGGCATTGTCATGAATCTTGTATCCAGTTGGAATACTAGCAAGGGGCTCTTGGGATCTGCAGACTGATCAATGTGCGATTGTTGCCATTCATAGTTTTCATTAGGGGAGAACAATCGTCTTGTTCATTATTCAGGGTTGGCGCGCTTGTACTACTGGAATTTCTTCATAGATACCTTACGGAGCATGTAACTTTGTATGGTTTCAATGATTTACCACCTAGGTAAATCGTCCGAGCTGAACTACTTTAGCTCATGCCAAATCTTTCTTGTTTTATCAAAGGGAATCATAATCCGAGGTCCCTCAATGAGTAAGGTATTAGTCAAGATTCTACTTTAAACATAGTTGTCGAACTGCCAAGCACATTTTGTTTTTGATGGCTTTTGCTGTAGACAGCAGACTGCATAGAATCGCGCCAAACACTGACAATACAGTGGCTACTGCAGGCGTACTTATGAACCCTGGTCGTAGCTCGCTTACGGATACCTTGTAAAGAGGTACGTAAGGTGACCCGGGACAACGGTTCTGCTAAAATCCATATCTCGCCACGATGCGGAGTATGTTGTACCGGAATGAATTGTGAAAGGAATCGGTGGAATGAAGACCAGAATCTGTCATACCACACGGCCATTTGACAGCCACAAGGGACGGATTTGCACGCGGAATTGTACTGCAGCTGGAGACACTCCATACGGACTAGAATGACTCCAAGATACATCGGGGCGAGACGCCTGTGGGTTCCAGCAAAGTTCCAGAGCGGGAACAGTGCCTAATTCATCCAAGCTCCACTTCGGACGAGGCCTCAACCCGGTGCCTAATCGTCATTAATTGTGGCTTATTTCGGTATGGTCAATTGCGTATCATTCAATTACTCGGGATTGTTGAGAGTGCCAACTGCCCAGGATAAAGATAACAAATAATATTTAGCGTCTCGGCTAGACGGCAGCAAACCATGGTAACTTCCCAATATCGTTCCCATAAAGTCCACGATTTGTCCTTTGGTTCAAGTAGTTATTGAATCTATAAAACATTCTCGCGGATGTATTAAGTCTGTATTTATAATATGTTGTTTCTGATAAAATGAGTACAATGCTTGCCTACGTGGATCCTTTTGCCATACAGCGCTATCCTAATGTGTACTGTAGAGTACAAGGGTACGGAGTACATAGGTTGTTGCATTAAGTCGTAAAAATACAGAAGAGTAAGGTGTCCACCAATATCCACCCCTCTCGCTCGTTCGGTTCCCCCAGAAAGTTTGTTCCTATGCTAAGTGCCAAAATGGGTAGGTGAATGATTATTATCTTCATTCTCCCGTTCGCTGTCAAGTATTAATTTTATCTCGGCTTGATTTTTCTCTTTTATTTTATTTTAAGACCCATTTGCCCTACTTATTATTAGTATTGCTCTTTCCTTCCCAGTTTCCCTGGGCCGCTCTCTGTCAATGTCGCATATACAAACCACCACACCCATACTTCGCATTGTTCCTCACGACGATAAAACCAATGCAATCTGAGAACTAGACAGTTGACAGGTCATCAAGACTACCGCCTTATTCGACCCGACCGATCGTCAAACTGACTTCTGTTGCAGTTGTGTCTGAGTGCACTGACCGCTGCTCAGCCAATCACCCAGAATACAGTCCGCCCAGAGTTGCCTTCCCTGCACGTCTCACGTATTATTTTTACCCATTGTTCGTGCAGTCCCTGCGTCCATTTCCACCCACACCGTCTCGTCGGGTCTCCCAGGCCTTTGGATTCGGTACACCTCGTGAGACCTGCCATACCTGTGCTTCACCACTTCTCTCGAATTCGCCCCCCATTTCGATCTCACGCGTCCTAGTCAACTAATATTTGGTCGCCATACATCGCCGTTTTTTTGCGCTTGAAATGTTATGAGAACGGGTTCAACGGAGGAAATTAATGCTATATTTGAGGAGGCCGACGCTAGACTTCTATCAGTCCCAACGCCACGGATCAATCAACTACAGATTCAGCGTGGAGATTTCATAATCGGATACAGCAAAGATGTCCAGTTCAAACGGCCCTAGCCAACCTGGTGAGGATAGGCAGGAAGGTTTCAGCAAGTATTTGAAGCGCATGAAAACGATCTTGAAAAGGAGCCCAACTGCAAGGAGTTCGATATCAAGTATGCAGGAGATTACTGAACGACCAGAACCGAGCCAAGTTGCCTCGTAAGTTACTTTTTTTTTTTCCCCTACACATTCTCAACATTAGCTAGATACTCTTTTTTGTCCGTTCCGTCTTCTCCAGACATATTTGAGATGATTCTATACCACTATATATTAACCAAGTTGCAGTCCCAGGCCTACCCCCGCCCCAGCGCAAAAGCCCGCCGCCAAACCAACTACTCAGCCGACCGTGGTAACGCACTGGAGCGCCATCCAAGAAGAGAAGGCTCGCGCCCTTTTCGCCAAGTATGGACTGACGATTGAGTCTGGAGAGTGGAAAACGCCGAGCGACATGACTGTCCAGCGCGTTGCCAAGCCGATTCGTATGAGAGTTCGCCGCACTTGTCATCGATGCGAAACTACCTTTGGGCCCGACAAGGTGTGTGTCAATTGCCAGCATATTCGGTGCACCAAGTGTCCGCGCCACACCTCCAGCAAACCCAATGATCAGGCGCAAAATGCTCTCGAGACTATCCGCGCAGCCCAAGGACATGGGCCACCTCGACACAAGAGCAAGGAATTACAACTCACCATTCCTTCTCGCACTGGTGGCCAAGACCTCGTCCTCAAGCCGATTCGGCAGAGAGTCCGGCGCACTTGTCATCGGTGTAATACTATGTTTCCTAACAAAGACGTGACGGAATGCCCTACTTGCAGACACATACGTTGCAAGAAATGTCCTCGAGAACCGTATGCGAACCCAGTTCAAGAACTTCTCCTTGACAATCAGCTGATAAAGTATAGGCCCAAACCGCATAAATATCCGGATGGCTATCCTGGAGACGCAGAACCTCCGTCAGAACCGCCGGCACGAACCTGGAAGAAACCACGACAGAGGGTGCGCTACACTTGTCACAAATGTTCTACGCAGTATCGGTCTCGGGAGACGACCTGCTCGAATTGCGGCCAGGAGAAGGGACCGGAGACTATACGAGACCCGTATGTTCAAGAAAGTCTGATTTCTTAAGATTGACTCTGACAATTGATCAGGCCGAAAAAGAATAAACCGGAACCAGACCCGGAGATCTTAAGGCGGGTGGAGGAACGACTAGCAAACATGAGCGCTACCAAGTAGCGACAATCGCTTTGCATTTTCCGATTTATCTATCAGCGACTGCCATATGGACTTTCGTGTATTCCTTTCTTATCACATCACAACATATCTCCTCTGACGAATCGGGGCACTAAAGGGATATTTCCCTCATACTAGCTACTGTTGAATCAATCTACAATTCTTGACTATTATTGAAGACAGAACACGTTCCTTGCATTACCACCTTCGACTTAACCCTGGATATCGAAGTGTAGTTATGGGCATGTTTATGCTCACCCACCATAGAGACAATATTAACGACGATAGAACTCTAGTAATTAATGACAAGTTACTGACCAACAGACACCATACGTCATCCAGTCCTTATTGGGATGGATTGTCGCTCGAAGGAATGATAGAGTTTCAGGGTTGCTATCCGCTGTCATCGTTAGGAGAGCCTCGGGCCAGCCCGCGTTATTGACTACTCGCCAGGCTTTGAACAGAAAAATCGCCTGTCATGGATTGATCTGTGCCGACTGTGGATATTATCCATACTATTGTTAATCCCACTAGCATAGAACAGCAAATTGAGTTATGATTCGTCGAAATCGGTGGCCTAACCGCCGGTCCTAGTACGCTGGTTAAGTGCTATGGGACCCGACGGAACGATGGATCTTGATTCCGAATAGCCAAAAGGATTTTCCGACTTCCAAAGGCCCACTTGAGTCTGTAGCTGGAAGTGAAATAACGGTCAGAGTGTGGGTTCTATGATACCTTTTACATATTGAACTTTGAAAGCGCGCAGTCGGCTTGAATAGGTGTATGTAGGAGGGGTAGGGCGTACTTCCGACAGTATCCTCCTTTATCCCCTGAATCTCCCTCTTCCAACTAATCTATCTCGCCTGAAACCAACGCAATATCTAATATTAATACGTATTTAACACCAAACTTTGCGTACGAAAGCACTATAACAGAGTTTACACGGTAGGGTAGTGTCCCATGTCAAAACCAGAAAATGCAGCACTGGGCCATGTCATGCAATCGCTGGCCAGATCTCACAGGGGTTATTGGTTGTGGCTGGAAGACGAGAATCCACTACTTTGATTTAGGCAAATTCAGGCCGTGACTGCTACCGCCCCAGCCTTCTTTGAGTTAGTTCCTCCGTTGAGGCGTCCATTGAGTTCCGTGGTTTAGGGTGATGGAATGACGGATTCCGGGAGTTTGTCGGGGCCGGAGAATAATTCTTATTGGATTTTTATTTTTCTTGCCAACCGGAATCTAGGAAATCCGTCTTGATACTTCGTATGGATGCATCTTGGAAATGTAGTCCTACGTACTACCTTAGGGTCTGGACCATCAAGTTCATTCCAAAATTGTACATACGTAACCAGGACTGCAATTTTCCAACCAATTGACCTGCCATAAGACCGACGTGTTCCTCATCAATAGCATTGTCTATCACCAAAATCCTGTTATTGAATCAATTCGCCATGAGTCGAGTCAAGTCCCAACGCTAAGGGAGTGATTTACGTGCCAAGAAACTAGTTGAAGGACGGAAATGGACGGAGTTTCCGGGCAGCCAGTCTGGTCCTCATTTTGGGGCATTCTAACTTTCGAGCTCTCAAATAGGGGACGTCGGAACCGAGGCTGCGATCGTAAGGTAGCGCAATCGGACCCCTTTTGGATGATCTGCTGAATATGGATCGACTACGGTAGTGGTAGTTACATCTGTCAGATCCCTTTTGTTATCTATCACAACGCCGGCATTTGCATTTGCCCATGTGCTTATGCGAGCTCCCCAGATCTGCTGGATCTGAGATCATAGATGAGCATAATCCTCGCGAGTTGGCTGGTCTGACTCGTCATGTCCTGTGTTCTGGGATAAGCTCCAAACCCGTTAGAACTAGTCCCGCTAAAGGTTAGAAGATGTGATACTTCACATTGGACTGATTAGACCTGGATTAAAGCAAGCAACAGCAAGCCTGGCAGAGCCAGCCATCTAGTGTCCAAGCTCGGGCCTCCGGCCAAACCTGATTCATTTTTATAGCCGTTGATCCTGTCCCCTATCGCTCGACGTCAAGGGGTCAAGGTTCGCTTAACGTCTAACTCTAGATATGTTTTACAGGAGGTATAGGGTACTCCTGGTGGACTGGGCTCCTATCCAACTGGGGATGTGGCTTCGGCTTGCGAGTCATTCTTACTAGAGTGCCATAGAGTACTTAAGCATGCATGAGCAAATACCCAGATCCATAAAATAGACAGCGTGCTTCAACAAGTGGAATAAGCTTGCATCGTACATACAATTGAATTCAGAGGCTCAGACGAGACGAGGAACATTGTTGACTTGATTAAGCTGACTATAAATATTTGCATCCTTTGTCATTGCCTGTAAATGAGCGTGATTTACATGATAGGATGCTTGCTGAAACCACGTAGTACTGAGTTGATAATTGCAATTTTCTGACTTTTACTGTACCATGGGTGTATTTGCACTTTACCCACCCTGGCGGCTCGGTCCGCTTGCCCCGCTCAGTTGTACTACTATTTGTTTCAGTACGGCAGAGCTTTGCCATGAATACAAGCCAGAGCCATATATGGTATTCCACGTATTGGGCAGGCGAGGCAAGCAGTGAATGATGATACCTTAAGGTAGGTCTCACCTATTGTATTTTGCTTTGCACTGGAGAGGTGTATATTTTACGCATTTCTCATCAATATGCGTTTTCCCCCCTCTTCATATCTATAAAACTTGAACTGATGCATTTTCCCTCTGCTATATATACTTTGCCCACCAAAGAAGAAACAGTCCGCATCCTTGTGATATTCACTTTCCTGAAAGCAATAATACAACTACAGGCAAGCATCATAAGAGCACTTCGTCTTCATTAGCAAAAACAATATCCCACCCATAGTTTGGACCAACATTGTATGCTGCTCCTTGACCAGCTGCGTCGTGCAGCCTTCAGTGAGCGAAGGATTGGCCTGTAGGAATGACGATCATGGGATGCTGTCCTGCACGCATACAGTTGTATATTTCCTGTCCGCCATTACTCTCAACACACTACTTGCCACAGTGGAGTGTGGTACCTTGAGCCACCGTCGCATACTCTGGTAGCGCACGGAGGATTTGGAGGATTCATGAGACCATAGCGTACAATCAGAGCCATTGTGTTAGGCTTAAAGGACAAAGAGTCATGCCATATTATGCTGATCGTATTTGCCATCTGTCCTGTTCTAGAGGAAAGTCAGGGGATTGCCAGGGGTCCGACCATGATTTATGATCGAGGAGACTGCTAATGCTATCGGAGACTTACGCCTGCGAATAGTGTTCCAGATATTCCTTTATTAGAGACTTCACAGTTGAGAGCTAATCTCATATAATTGGGGCTGATTTTATATCGTGAAGTCAACGCTAGTGGTCAGAACGATGAGCATAAAGTATTAATTCGCTCTTTATAGGAGACCTCCAACATTGCCACGAAATATGGCCAAATGCTCTAAACAGAGAGAGCGTACTGTCAGGTTATTCATTCACGCATCGGACTACTCATACCATAACCAAGCCACACTACTCCGCATCCTTCAACTGCCATTAAAAGCAGGGGGTAACTACTTACCCCTCATCCAGCAACATATTTGTTCTCATCCGCTGTTCTTCTCTCAACATTCCGCCTGTTGCATCCCAGCACAGTGGGAACAAATAGGATCCAACCCGCTAAATGTAGCGTTCCGGTGTTCCCGCACTACTGCCAGTCTAAGGTACTAGTGGCCTTCGTAGCCTCGACGGCTAGTCCTGCATCAACCCATTTCTGGAAGGAAAGAAACTTCATGTGGCAAAGTACAGCCTGTTGTTCGGCGTATGACCAGAAGACCCGGAGAGTTAACTCCTGGCTCGGAGAGTTGTTTGGTAGGTTGTTGGACCTTGTTCATTGCAATTATCCTGGTTGCTGGGATTACTGTTGCCACTACGGAGTACACCGTGCAAGCAGAAGGCTAATTAATGGACATTAGCATACATTTGTTTCGAGTCGAGTAAATGTACGAAAGTGGAGCTTGGGTCTCGAGAGATCAAGACGGTAACTGTGGTATTCGTACGATGACTTGCAGCAAGCAAACAGAAGCACCATTCCTTCAAGGTAAGGTAGTTTTGGGTATCAACGCCATGTTCTGAACACTGTATTCCGCATTCGACGGCTGGATGATCTCATAAACGGTTTGTATGACGTGCTAATCTTCCAACGTTTCCCCAGAAAGCGAAAGTCCCCTGCGTCAACTTTCCCCTCCTACCACCTTTCTTCGCTTTCCCGAGTAGCCTTTGGTTTCTGATGCATGCTTGCGTTTTTCGTCGCACCTGCAGATAAGACAGTCGATGTAGAAGGCATTTTTGGAAAAATACCCCAGTGCCTCATACGCGGGGTTGGCTCCGACGAAGGTGGTGGTGTCCCAGTAGAAGCATTCGTCGCAAAATGCCCTCACGCATTGCCTGCAGCAAAACAAGAGGCGTCCCGCTTCTGATGCATTCTTGTGGCATTTCCAGCAATAATGATGGGGGCAAATTGAAGTTCCCGAACTCGGATGTTCTTCTTCAATCACGCTCCCAAGGCAAGCAGGGTGAAAAGCACGAGGGCATATGTCACAGTCCTCCGCATTGAACTGGTGACATACGAAGCACGTCTGAGATGTATTAGCATGCTATGTTCCTTGATTCGGATCACTACTCACTATCTGATGGGTAAAAGTCTTCGTGGGTGAGACACACCCATTAGCGGACGCCGGCTCTTCGACCGAGGGACCCAGGCTTTCCTTGCTCACTGCATAGCCGTCGATCATGACCGTCCTCTCCTTACCAATGCGACGATTAGAGCGGAGCAGATTGCTGCTATCTTCTTCAGCATATACTGTATGGTGGCGTCTGCTTGTATCAATCGTCACCCCATTAAACAGGTTTGTCCTGACTTTGTCGGCCTTTTCAAGCCAGAGCTGTTCTTGTTCAACGGTGAGACATCCGGAGAGCCCTCCGTCTTTTTGGGTACTTGAACACTTGTTGAGAATAGTGCTCATGTCCCACTGGACCATTTCGTCTGTATCAATTTGTTTCTGAGACAAGAAAGTCTGATCCACGAAGACGGGCGAAGGAAAGCCAAATGTATCCGTCGAGTCCTGAGACATGCTCACCTGTTCAGACTTGAGCATGTCAAGGTAGTCATTTCCGGGCCAATGTGTATGTATGTTGTCGGTCACCCTATCTGCGATATAGGCTTTCTTGGCTAGCCGTCGGCTCATCTGCTCTTCTACTGTGCCTGTCGAGCGCAGCTTATAAATCATGACCGGCCGGGTCTGTCCAATTCGATGCACTCGTGCTTCGGCCTGGCGCATGACTTGAGGGTTCCAGTCCTCATCCAAGAACACAATCACAGAGGAGCTGGTCAAATTCAGCCCTTCCCCGCCCGCTCTAATCGAAACCAGGAAAACCATGTATCTCGGATCGTTCTGAAAAAGGTGCACCATAACCTTGCGCCATGGCCCTGTGGTTCTCCCGTCAAGCCGTGCGTATTCGAAGGCTCGGTTGTTGCCTCGGAGCATCATGACTAGGTCCTCGCATAAGTTGAGAGCCTGATCAAAGTTTGAGAAAACGATGACTTTTGTCTCAGTCGCCACGTAATGTTGAAGGAGCTTCTTCAGGACTAAAAATTTGCCGGATTGATTGATAATATGTTCGCCTACTTCATAGGGATTGGGGATCGCGTCTACAAAAAGATAAGGATGAATGGAACACTGCTCAATGTCAGTCATGCGCAAAATGGAAGGGAACTTGAGGGCTGACTTTTCTCAGCTCCATGAGAATATTTCCCGTGATACGGTACTTTCTAGGCCCAGGTGTCTCTGCAGGATCCTCAGAAATTGAATTGACTGCCCTAGAACATGGACTTTCGACTGCTGTTTGCTCAGACAACGGTCCATCCAGTTGAATGTGGGAGGTTTCAGAGGCATCTGAGGGCAACTGCCAGATTTCTACACCTGTAAGGATTCTCAAATACAACGAACGCTGTGCACGCGATAAGGGCACAGAAAGGACGGTTTCTCTTTTGGGCGGAATGTCGAATCCAATTCCGGGAGAATCCTTGGTTCTTCGGATCATGACCAGCCTTAGGAAACTTTTGACACATTCGAGAAATACAGGGTCGAATTTTCCGTCGCTGACGGAGAAGGCCTCCTGGAAGAGCTTCTCCGTGGCTGGCACGAAGATCTCAGGGTAAAGCCAATGGAAAATCGACCACAGCTCGCTCAAGTCATTTTGTATCGGGGTACTGTGGACGCGGCCAAATTAGCAGCATTCGGTTTATAGAAAGGGCTGCAACTTACCCGGAGAGCACGAGCTTCATTTCTGCTTTGATGCGATTAAGGACCAACGCTCTCTTCGAACGACTGTTCTTGATTCTATGACCCTCGTCAAGGACGACGCCTCGCCAAACGAAGACCCTCGAGAACCAGTTTATTTCTGAGATAAGGGTCTCGTATGTTGTAAGCACGATGTCCACAATGCCCGTTGAAGTTCTGAAGATACTAGGCTTTTTCTGGACAGACATCATCTTCTTCACGGCGTCTCGTTGCTCGAATGTGCCATGGTATTTGACAGCTCGGAGGTCGGGGGTCCACTTCTCGATTTCTGTTAACCATGTTTCTAGGATACTTAGTGGACACACGACGAGGAAGGGCACATTGTTGTTTGAATATCCACCATCTCCTTCTTTCAAATATTGGAAGAGGCTCAAGGTCTGAAGCGTCTTGCCTAGACCCATCTCGTCGGCAAGAATACCACCGACGCCGTTGCGGCACAGGTACACCAAGAAAGACAGACCCTCAAGCTGGTACGGCTTTAACTCTGCTCTGAGTCTGTCCGCACGTTAGCCCAGAAACGAAGACGGGAGCTGCTATAGTCAACTTACCCTCTGGGCTGAGCACTGAGGCTTTCATGTTCTAGTATTTTAGCAGGTGCGGAAATGTTTCTGTTGGCCAGCTTCTCAAATGACTTTGCACCGCCAAGGAGAGGGAGTATGATGTCCTTGTGCGAGAGCAGAAATGTGATCCGCCTCGTTCGGATGTCCTGGAGAATGTCCTGTGTTCTACTGGATGCAGATATGTTAGGCTTTGGTCCTGCTGACCAGGGGATGCCGAAGACTCGCGAACGGCCGTGTCGCTCTGTCTTTCCGAGACTCTCTCGGTCTAGCGAAGCATGGATAGCAGTGTCAGCGGTACATCGAGTCTCACCGGCGCCAATTTCACCAATGCCAATGCTTTCCGACCCTTCGGAATAGTTGGGAGATGTCGGCGGCGAGATACTCCATGATCGAGGCGTGCTCAATGCGGAAGACAAAGACCCCGACTCTGAGCTCTGGCTGGTATATTGCGCTCGAGAGATGTTATTGCCCATGCTGAAATGCATCTTCGTATGCTAGGAGGGAGACCAAGTGTAGATGAGGAGGCTTCGTATGTGAGTGAGTTGAAGAACTGAGGGTAGCCATGAGGGAGGAGGACCGGTGGAGAGCTTCTAAAAGGCAGGGAGTATAGAAAGAATCATGCTTCACTATTTGAGATCTTCTGAAACGAATGTGAGCAATAATCATGCTGAGTGTTACTCTGGAGGAGCAAAAAGAACTACTGTTCTTAGGGCATGCCTCACATGTAGTTTTGATTTCAGCTAACTGGTGAATCAAGAGTAGGAGAATCTGGGTAGTGTTCTGTGGGGAAGTGATCTGAAACAGATGCTTTACAGTTTACTGTGAATGTGCTAGATCTGTAGTCATTTAAGATGTGTGAGAACTTTTAGGTTGCCTTCAATGTGTTGATTAAATGAAGCCTGGATAGCATGATTCCCATTCAAGACCTGAAAGCTAGGCCCTTTAGTTCCATTGCATTCTGTTCAGTTATCTGCTTTATTGCTCAGGACTGGTTCTGTATGCGTAGGAACTATGCATGCTTCACATAGGAACATTCCTATGACCATGCACGTTAGTACGCTTGTAGATAAAGCCATCCATATCTCAGTCATATAAGAAGGGTTGGAAAGCGCATAGAACACATCTTCATATTAGTCTATGCGTCCTCATAAGTTCGGAAAGTACGGCATTACACCTTAATCCTCCGACTCAACTGCTCCGTCCCTGCCGACTTGTCAAAGTCAATCTCCCCCAAATCGACCCTCTTCCCCAACGCGCGCCGGATAATCCAATCCTTGCTATTGACTTCTTCCTCGACATCACCTTCTCTCAGCTCCGGAATCAGCTCCGACCCTTCCAACCGCTTGAGGACCACATCATCCTCCGGCCGCGAGAAGTAGACAAGACTATACCGGGTCCAATCAGCCTGCTGACCCGGCGGCGCCGCTACGCGATGGATGTTCGACCGGAACAGCCCATTCGTGAACTTGACCATTGCGTCTCCGAGGTTGACGATCGCGTGGCCCGGGAGGGGCCGCACATAGACCCATTGCGCGTCTGCGCCGGGTGGGAGAACCTGCAGGCCGCCGAGCCGGTTGAAGAGGATCGTGATGCTGCCGAAGTCGGTATGTTCTCCTAGTGCGGTGCGTCTGTCGTCAGCGGGCTGGGGTGGTGCTTTGATGAAGCGGACTTGGTCGCCGCTGATGGCGTTGAGACGGTGGAGGTTTGATAGAGTTGAGGGCGGGAGGCCTAGGCTGTCGTTTAGGAGGGCGAGGATCAGCGTGACAATTGAGTGAGAGGTGCGGATGAATGATTCGAGGGTTGGACGAGCTTCATGGAGGATGGCAGGGGCTGGCAGTGGTGATGTGATGCCTAGGATGTCGTTCTTCGGGACCTGGGACGGCGTGTGAGCTTTGGCGTTCAATTCATTGGGACTGCTAAGAACAGACATTGTAGAATTCGTTCCTGTCAAGATTCCCTTGACGATCGACGACCGCTGCACCCTGTGCTTTGTAGCCGTGGTAGGAGTTCTCGTTGCTAAAGTCGTATTGTAGTTTCTCCTCCAGATTAAGATTCAATAGGTTCTCGCCCGTTTGGAACAGCTTGTCTGCATCATTGAGGATGCCACGGCCCTCTTCGGAGCCTTCCAGGTAGAGGTAGAAGAACCCTAGATCTTCACATGCTTGCATCAGCCTCTGGACCTCGTTCGCGTCACGCGCAAGCAACTTCTGGAGAGATAGACGCAGTAGAGGAGCGGTTGGTATGTCACTTGGGAAAGGTGGCAGCCCGGGGAAATCGTTCGTATCGACAACCATGCTGAAGGTAAACAAGGATAGTCACTGGTGCTCGCTATAAGCTCTTGAGAGTGAATGTAAAAGAAGAATGACTTCCCGTTCTTTCTTTATATCAGCACTCGAGTCAAGTGCCCTGTGGCCCCCATGCGGGGAAGAGAGTTGCAACCGAGGGCCAACAGAGTGCGGAGCTCACAGCCTAGCTGACAATAGTGATTATGATTGTGGTTGAGCTTGAGATTCTCGACTTCCTAGAAGCTGAAAGGTTAGTCTATACCTTTGTCGGCAAATAATATAGAACTCGGCGTTTGAGTTGTGGGCAGTCCATCTTCTACTGTGGCATCCCATGCGCTTAGCACAGGAAAAATGAGAGTAAAAGTCTTCCAATAACAAGATTAAACTTCAATGATAGCTCATAGTGTCTGAGAAACGGTTCCTTGGGAGATTTGACTCGAGCTTCTCGGAATCTGGCAAGTCCACGGATGGATGTTGACGAGCAATATGTGAATAGTAATGTATGCCGCCATCAGGCAAATATCCATGCATTCCCCCCATATATGCTGCTGTCATAGAACCGGATGATTCCAACATTGACCGATTAATTCAACAGAATCTCGTTGGAAAGTCTGCAGCGCGTGAAGCAGAAGCGCTATCCTCAGCGCATATCATGTCACGTGATGATGAGGTCTTCCAGATGGAAAGTGGAAATGCCTCTCCATCGTTCTCACCATATCCCATATTCCTCATTGAACTCTTCTAAGCTCAGGTCCGGTCGTCGGAACGAGCTATATTCCACACAATGACCACACCGAAGCCTCACATCGCTCGCGAGCTTCTTGCGCGCGCCCACTCACCAGAAACAGCAGAACAGCTCTTCACAGAGCGCGTCAAACAGAAACCCCTCTACCTCAGACCAACCTCCCCCACACCTGCGGACAACCGAGAAAGACGTCGCCTGCACCGTATCCGCAAAAAGGAATACTTCTTGCGCAAGCAGAAACCAAAGCCCCTCTCCGCGCGCGAAAAGCGTATCTCGGGCCTCTACGAGCTTCCCAAGGAGGAATGCAAATATTCCATCTTCAAGGAGCTTCACAAATTATGGGTTGGCTATATGCAAGAGATCCTAGACCTACGAGTTCGAAAGGTTCCTATCACGCCACAATCGCATGGGAGCAAGCTGGTTACTGCGGATTTTCATGGTGCTGAGGTTGAGGTTGTTCGGAGTCGGTGCGCGGGACGGGTGGGTGTGAAGGGAATCGTGGCGAGGGACACAAAATTCACCTTTATGATTGTCACGGAGAAGGATGAGGTGAAAAGTGAGTTTGTTTTTGCAGATCCCTTTACGCGGCTGGAGAAGTAAACGTTGGGCTAATATACGCCGTGAAGCTATACCCAAGGAACAGACCATTTTCCGCTTCACTGTTCCTTTGCCGTCGGCAGATGATGAGGACACCGCTATGTCGGATGGTGATAAGACCAAGAAGGCACTTACATTTGAGCTACACGGTAGCCAATTCGAGAATCGCCCAGTCGATCGGGCCAACAAGAAATTCAAATGGCGAAATGTGGAATACATCTAGTAGCACCGGGTTTCGAGAGCACTGTGTCAAAATTGACGATGCAGGCTTTTACTAGCCATGGCTCAGTTGCATGACTTTCAGGCTAAAGGGGCCACCGAATACGCTGCTAAGCAGTCGTCTGCTTGTAAACCCTCCATCTAGGGAAAAGGAGCACCTGATCACCGACATCTGCTGCGAAAGATTGCCAGGTCGGGATTAGGGCTTGAGAGCTCATGTCCCGGAGAATACCACACATATTTATGTTCTGAGAAATTCGGAACCGCAGGTCTCTGTCTTTCCTCTTCGACTATCAATGGAGTACATATACACACTGTTGCGGCACAACCCGGGGGCAGCAATTCCCTTTACTCCAAAGCTATGCAATCCCCGAAGAATCGTGCGTCCACTGCGATGCTTGCAGAGCCCATCTGAATAGCATTGCATCTCAATCCCTAACTCTCGCATGATTTGTCAAATTCCCTCGTCGACCGACCATATCTCTGAGATCTGATTGTTCTTCATTTTGTTCTTCATCCTATCGTGTCTTTTTGACTCAGTAGACGACAGGATGTGCGCAAGGCGCATACTTGGTGTCAGCACCGTCTGCCATGTTCTGGGTTCAAGTCCATGCTACCGACTAGCGATCCCAACCCAGTTATGGCCTGCTGGCCCTGATAATGCAGACTTCCATCTTCATCGAGCAGCACAGCATGGCTGACCTGTCTTTTCGAAGTGACAGGATCCGGGTCAGGTCACACCCAGAACTGAAGCCCTATCACGGAGTGGACACCTGACGAGGGTAGCACGAGCGTGCCACTGGGGACCAATATGTATGGCCTGCTCGCCAGTGTGAGTTAGAACGTGGGGTGCAGTAAAAGCACCAACAATCCAGCTTCACATTCCCGCCCATTCAATGCTGAAAGTCCTCACATTACTGCCTGCTTCATTGATCGAGTCTCCATCCTTTTCCTCAGCTCCTCCTAACAGGAAGCCCTTCTTGACACCTGTCCCGAGTCGCCCACCGACGATGATATCCATCAAATCAATCTCCTCATCCCATTCGGCGGACACGACCAGAAAGTGAGAATGGAATCGCAGAGGGTCGCCAGGATATGCGAGGTACTGGCAGCCGAATCGGAGACCCGGTGATAGATAATAGCCCTCCGAGTGTAGGTGGGCAAACAAGGGGTACGATGATGGCACCTCTGGAAGTGGCAGAAGTTGCTTAGCAGGCAGATCAGAAGGTAGAAGATCCTCGGATGTAGCGGGAGTGATTCCCATGGCGACTTGAGGTTGGGTTGCAATCGAGGTTCGTCGTGACGTCTGGGTGGAATCCGTTTGTTTATCGTCACCCGCAAAGAACTCAGAGCCCGGCATGTCTTGCACGCCGTCTGCGGAGACCTGTTTTGGAGCAGCTCTCTTTGCCTTTGCTGCCTTCTTCTCATCTAAATTCTTTAACACTTCCTCCCTTCTCTGCTCCTTTTGGCTAGTTTGAAGGCGCATTGCTTGGAGTCCCTGGTTTTCTATATCCTGCAGGTACCTCTGCCGGTCTGCCTCCATGATAGATTTCATTCCATCCTTCTGGAATTTTACCTCGTCTACAATGCAAGCTACACCTTTCTCCACCAGAAGCCTGGCCTCTTCCGGCATCAGCTC